GGGGGGGGGGGGGGGGGGGGGTGACGACACCAGGCATGGCAGGCGGAGGAGGCGGGACAGAGTTTATTGTGGAGTATCGTAACCATGGGAAAAGCAATCGTGGGATACTACACACCGAGGGGCACGCACGATACCACACCCTGCGGACCGACACTTAAAGGCCAGGTTATTCCACGACAAAGAGGATGTGCAAATCAATCGAAACGCTGCCGGAAAGCTGTCGATGAGACGGTTCCCAACGCCGTCATTTTCGGCACCGTCACTCTCCGTGCTGTGGAGTAAATCGAGCGTCGAAAATCGGTCCAGGGGGTGTGATATCTTACGTCACCTACGGTATATACATGTTGATCACGCGCCGAGAGGCCCGCCAGAATCCGGGGGGCTGGCTGGGGGAGGGCTCTCACGGACTAGATCCCGACACAAAAGAACCAAGGAGGCCGGCACAACATCATCGGCAGCAAAACCGCACCAGCAACCGTGACAAAGCGAACAAACCACGAAAAATAAGCGGAGCGAGCTACATGTAGCAAGGCTGGAGGACGACGACGACGCGATGTCGGGGGTGACACACATGGCACGGCGCAAGGGCCTGGCACACACGATCTCCCCGCCCCCACAGAAACTGCGATGCAAACCACAAAAAAAAAATGCAGACTAGAAAAAAAAAAAAAATGATCATAGCAAGCATACCCACAGAGAACACACGGACCAGATTTTCAAACAACCAACGTGACACAGCACAAAACAAAAGGGCATGCTTGCTGTGGATACGTACTGGAAATGATCCGAATGGCAAGACGAGACCCAACCACCCCGCGAAAAATATGTGCTTCTACTTTACCCTGCAAAGTGTACCCTTTTTTCACCCTTTTTTCAGTGTACCTTCGGGAAGACGGCCACGAGGAGGCCCATCAACGCGAGGCTAGCCCCGCTCTGCGCCACGCCCCAGCCGAACTTCCGGTCGGTGTACTGCCATATCGTCGGGGCGGCAGCAGCAGCAGCAGCAGCAGCAGCAGCAGCAGCAGCAGCAGCACCGGGGTCAGGGAAAGTAGCAAGAGGTAGAGGGAGAGGGGCAGCAGCAGCAGCAGCAGCACAAGGATAGGGATCAGGGAAAAGATTGACAGGTAGTAGAGAGAGGGGCAGCAGCACAAACACCACCATGGTCTGGGTCAGGGAAAAGAGAGAGCGGTAGTAGGGAGAGGGCATGATGACACTCGCGACAACACGTTCCGGCGTTCGCTTTTTTTTTTTTTATGACGACTGGCTGTTTTGCGTTCGTTGCCTTCACGCCAAAAATGAAGACCCAGTACCCTCCCTCCCTCCGTTCCAAAAGTCAGAAAAAAGTCGTTTCAAACTCAGGAACGAAAGAAAAAAAAAACACAAAACACACACACAAGCACGGAGCATGGACACACTCAAAAAGACTGCGGGGCTCACGTTGATCCAGTTGATCTGAAGGCCCACGTGGGCAATCCACAGCAGTGTCCAGCACGCGAAGACGCCCGTGATGAGCTGGTTGCGGGTGGCCATGGTCACGGCCCCCAGCGGGTTCGCCTGCTTCAGGTCCACCTGTTGCAAGCAGTCGTCGTGGTCGTCGTTAGCGCCTAGACTACAGAAAAACAAAAGCTTCTATGTACTTCGTACTAAAAAAATATATGTATCAGAATGGTCAACAATAATAAACATGAGCACAATGCATTAATAAATATAAATCAGAATGAAAAAAAATAAATAAATACATGAACACAATAAATACCAACACGCGAATACGGCCACGACGAAGCCCTTGCCCCGGGGTGTTTGATGGGTTTCCGGAATAGCAGCTTGCCACGCGTACATGTCAACAGTTTTCTCGTATCGCACCATTCGGGGGTGCAAGAAGGGGACAGTTGCGAGTCACGCGTTGTGTTTCTGCTTCGTTCCAGACGCGTAACTTCGAGTAGGTGCTTGTCCCATGCATCGTTCGGTGGCCCTTCGTCCTAATCACTTTCTTATGCCCCTGAGACCTGATGCCAACAGGGTCATCAGCATGCGTGGGTAGTTCAGCATCACGCCCTCCGAAGACCCTCTGAGGAGATGGATGGTACCAGATAATCCAAAGCCCACCCTCTTCCACACAACACCAGTAAGCACAAGATGCCGAACACCCTTACAATAGCAGGATGCAGCGCACCCTCCATGCGACTCGCCGCGTACCTCACGGCGCTTCGCGCTTGGTGAAGAGAGACCCCGGTCCGGTGAGAACCCGGCGCGCTCCGTCCCGGCTTTGTAGGAATGCGAGGTCAATGCCCCAACGACTACGGCAAGCACGACTATATGACTACACGCCCCCCTTCCACACAACACCTCACCTTCTTCACCCGCTTCTCGTCGGGCAACGTCTCAGGCATGACAAACGCGATCATCACGAAGTTCACCAGGCAGAGTCCCACGCTCACGAGGAGGGGGAAGCGGACGCCGTACTTGGCGCCCAGAACGCCTCCCATCGGAAGCCCTGCCGCGCACGCACCCCGCACCACACACATACACACACACAAACCGCGAGCTTAGTCCATGAACAAAAGGTTGTAGCGGCAATATGCATAAAACTGATAAACTGATCAGTCACGAACCAACGACCGAACGAACGAACGAACGATAGGATAACGTAACTCGGCGGCAACCGCCACAACAACAGTGAAGAATGACCCGCCTGCTGGCCGTATACCCCTACCCTGCCATGGGCGCGGTGCCCCGTGAGGCGGCGAGGAAGCACTCACTCACGGCCCCCCAGATCATGCATGGCCTTTGACAAGAAATGTTCTAGATGGTGTTTTCGTTATTATGGCAGCACTGAGGATCGCATGTTTTTATTGGCCAGCCGGTTAGCGCGGTCGATGCAAACAATAAAGACAAACACACAACACCAACACGTGGCGCAAGGCAGGTCATGACCTTTTTCTCAGAATAATTTCCCTGCTTTCAGTCACGCTCAGACTGACGCGTTTTCATTGTGCAGCCTGTTGGCGCGGTCCATGCAAACCACAACGACGCCCACCCACGCACCCACACACGATATGTATCGTGATACGCAATGCCTCCAACGGTCTTATGGAGCACCTATGCATATCGCGAACACCATCCACAGGCACGACATACTGCATCCCAAAAACTGAGAAAGATAAAACCACGAAAAAAAAAACGACACACCCAACCACGATCGCTGTACGCAAGTCTTCCAACGTTCTCACAGCGCACCTATCATGAACGCCATGCCCAGCGACAGCCCCTGGAACAGCCCGAACGCCTCCCCTAACCCAGCCCCCGTCCCCACACAGTCCGTGATGCACGCCTGGGCCATGCTGCAAAACACAAGCAGCCATCGTGCCGAAGAGAGTGCGTGAGTCAGCCAGGGAGGGAAGGAGGGAGAAAGAGAGAGATGGGGGGGGGGGGGGGGGGGGAAAACAAAAGGGGGAAAAGGGTATTGTTTTTTAAAAAC